GGTGAAACCAAAAAAGTAGGTACTGGGAAATTGGAGAAAAAGAGAGATTAAATTTAATTTAGGGGACTAGAAAAGGTTGATAAAAGCGATGGCACTTGAGAGCAGCCCTACAGGATATGTTGGGACAGCATAGCATGAAATATGCTATCACTGAAAATTGTTCCACATTGAAGTCCTTGAAATTAAAAATTCTTCCATACAAGTTGTGATTTCTCCCACTACTTTCATACTGAACCTGCTCTGTCTTTCTGGAGACTTCCATTCTTACCCCATCTTATTCTCAATGGTCCTTCATGCACATCCAGGTGGGATTCCTCAGTCAGGGTTCTCAAACAATTTTTGTCAGCACTCTCTTGTCCTCAGGCATCTGTATTTCTGTCTTGCCCATCTCCAACCTTGCCTTGCTGACATCAAGGTCATTCAGTTTGAGGTCTCTTAACAACCTTCCATTCCAACTCAACATTTCTTGGTCTTTCCTCCGTTCTCCCCATGAGTAACTCCTTGTTCTTTCCGTCCTCTTCCAGGACCTAGCTCTACGTCTTATCTCCCCACTTGTATCTTCAGTTTTCATTGCCTGTAAATGACTCTTTTTAGGGGCAGATCCAGGTTTTGTAGACCCTGAAGCTTATTCAATCCCTGGAGCCCTCTTCAAGAAAAAGAACACAAAATTACAAACGCCAACTTAGGAACAAAAGTTAATATTTACAGTTGACCCTTGAACATAGGTGGTGTTAGCAGTCCTGATCCACCACACAAAAATCTGCCTTAACTTTTGACTCCCCAACTTAACTACTAATAGCCTACCAGAAGCCTTACTGATAACATGAACAATTAACAGATAGATATTTTATATGTCATATGTATTATATACTGTATTGTTACAATAAAGTAAGACAGAAAAAAGAAAATGTTACCAAGAAAATCATAAGGAAAATACATTTACAATGCTGTACTGTATTTATCAGAAAAAATCTGCATATAAATGGACCTGTGCAGTTTAAACCCATGTTGTTCAAGAGTGAACTTTATTTAGAAGAGGCCTGTGCAAGTGTAAGGGGCCCTGAAGGTTAAGCTTCACAGTAAATCTACCTCTGTCTGCACTATAATAAAAACAAAACAAAACCAAACCCTAAAGCTTCCCTTCTCTTTTTCTCATCACTCTGAAACCTTTCCTAGTAGTAGTCTACATACAGTGTCTGCTCCTATTTCGTGTCCATTCTATCGCAATGGTTTTCTCTAAAACACCATTGACCTCCTAATCCCTAAAGCCCATAGATTTTTCTTGGTCGTGATCTTTCTTGTCCTTTCCACAGATAATCTGATACACAGGTCATCTTCTGACTTTTCCAATGATTCCTTGTACCACTAAATTAGCAATGGTTAGCCTTACTCAATGGCCTGAGTTGTCTTCCCTCCCCTGTAACTCAATGGTCATACTCATACCTATGGCTTCTCTTATCATTCTGTGTGGCTGATCTGCCATTATATCCCTTATAAACTCAAGGCCTGTAATACAAATTCTCTACCTGAGGTCCCACCATCACTTCAAATTCATCTTTTTCTGGCTGTATCAATAGCATCACTCCCTCCCAGCCACCTGCTCAAGAAATGTGAAAATTACTTTAAATAAAACACCTCTTGGTCCCTCCCTTCCTGCATCAACTCTAACATCTATCAGTTCTACCTCAGAAATATCCCTAGCATCAGTGTAGTCCTTTCTAGTCCACTGCCACATTTCCTACTTCAGTGTTTCTATATTACTTGGACCAATCCAAAAGACTCTAATGTTTGGAGCTGAAGAAACTCAGAGCTGGATGTGACTTGCCCTATTGAATTAATGGCAGGTCAGATCTAGAATCCGGGTTTCCTGCTTCTTCTTGGTGGCTACTTCACAGTTCTAAACCCACTGAAATCTATTTTGTATACACTAACGCCAGGTTAATCTTAAAAGTGATGACTCACCAAATGAAAGTGTGGTCCCTAGCATGGTATTTCAGGGCCCTGAAATCAGGTATCAGATAATATCTCAACTTTATCTTCTTCTTGCATTGTATTGTATAATCAACTGGGCTCTTGAGTGTTCTCTGAACATGACCATACTTTTATGCAGGCAATTTCTGTAATTAATTTCTTCCCTGCTATGTAGTACGTCAGTAGTTTGAACTTCTTATCAATTATGGTCTGATGTTGTCTTTATGTGTTTGTAGTAGACATTTTGGTTGTCTCAACATCCATCCCATCCCAGATGATTGAAAGTCCAATGAATGAACCTATCCATTTACCATGATTGGTTTAGGGATGGACATGTGATACATTTCTGGCCAATGACACAGAAGGGAAGTCAGTTGGGCAGAATCTTGGGAAGGTCCCCATGTCTTAGGAGACATTGAAGAAATAGTCCTTTCTGACTCTGGATATTGTCATGGCTGAATGTGACCCACAATAACAGCTATGGCCACCTTGCTCTCAGCCTGACAAAGAAGATGGAGAGAATCTGAGCTACTGATACTATTGAAGATCTAATCAACCAATCCTGGAGCCTGCCTTGACTCTGAACTTACTATTATGTGAAGTAATACATTTCCTTATTGTCCAAGCCATTTGAAGTCACAGTTTTCTGTTATCTGCAGCCTAAATCAGGAAACAATGTTTTGTTTCCAATGCTAGACAGTAAGCTTCTTGAATTCAGTTTCTATTACTGTCTAGCCCTCTTATGGCTTGGCACACAGCAGATGCTCAAAAAATGATTGTGAGGGGTGTCTGGGTGGCCCAGTCAGTTAAGCATCTGCCTTTGGCTCAGGTCATGATCCCAGGGTCCTGGGATGGAGCTCCACATTAGGCTCTCTGCTCAGCAGCAGGGAGCCTCCTTCTCCCTCTCCCTCTGCCTGCTGCTCCCCTTGCTTGTGCAAATAAATAAAATCTTTTTTAAAAGTACTTTAAAAAAATGATTGTGAAATTGATATTTATATATTTATTTCTGTTACAACTAGTAAAAGCATTTGCAATTTATAAAACTCTTTAATTTACTCATACCAATTTAGAGATAACAAAATAAGGCTTAGATAGATTAACTAACGTGTTCAGGGCACTTTATTTCTCAAAGTCATATAAGTTTTGAACAGGTTGTTCCCCTTTGTCTGAAATCCTCATCCATGACTACCATGCCTGTTAGGGTCCCAAGAGTACTGGAGACTGATGGAAAAAGCAAGCAGCAAGCCATTCCAGTGTTTAACCCAGCAATAATGCCAATACAGTACCCTAGTTATTTCTGAGTTGGAGTTCAGAACTGGAACCCCTTCTCTCAGTCCCAATTCATAATGCTATCTCTAGTGCCAGGACCATGAATCCCCGTAAATACAACACTTTATACGCAGAGGTATTTTCCCAGGAAAATGGATCACAGCTTTTATTAAATTCTCAAGAGGGTCTGTGACTCCCTGAAAGGTTAAGAAGCACTATAACATGATACAATATCTCAGAAGTAAATGAAAAAAACGTTTAAAATATTCCTCATTTGGGCGCCTGGGTGGCTCAGTTGGTTAAGCGACTGCCTTCGGCTCAGGTCATGATCCTGGAGTCCCTGGATGGAGTCCCGCATCGGGCTCCCTGCTCAGCAGGGAGTCTGCTTCTCCCTCTTACCCTCCCCCCATCTCATGTGCTTTCTCTCTCATTCTCTCTGTCTCTCAAATAAATAAATAAAATCTTTAAAAAAAATAAAATAAAATATTCCTCATTCAGTGGACCTAGTATCTCCCCCTTTTGTTATGTATTATATCCTCTAAGGGACCAGTAGACCAGGAACCACTTGGAGATCATGAAGCAGGAGACATTTAGGCAGAGAGGGTTCAATACCTCCAGTCAAGACCAGTGTAAAAGGAAAATGCAGAGCCCCTTGTTGAAAAGTTATTAAGGACTTCAAAAGGGCTACAGCAGAGCATTAAACCAAACACAAGGTCCTTTTAAGCTAGCAGCCCTGTGCAACTACAGAGGTCGCACACCCATGAAATGGATACTGCTTCTAGTACATATTACTAAACATACTATTGCCTGGCCAATTATGCTATAGTCCTTTGGACTGCCACGCAGTCCTTAATCCATCTAGAACGTGCCACAGATTGTATTAAGAGCTGGGCATTCCTGATAGGAGCATTCATTCAATAACACTGGGTGTCTACAAAAGGCTTGTTCTAGATCCTGGGGATACAACTCTGAATAAGACATTCGTGTTGGGCAGAGACAATGAACAAATAAAAATATCAGGCAGTGATAGGTGCTGAGTAAAAAAATTAACATAGGGTGACTGGTTGGCTATTTTAGATTGGGTGGTCTGGGAAGCCCTCTCTGAGAGGACGTTTGAGCTAAGACTTTACTGAAAATAGGCCAGTCCTGCCTCCATGGGAGGTGAAGAGGATTTCCTTAAGCTTGGCAAACAGGACAAAAGCTCAAGGGAGGAAAGGAAGAGAGGGAAAGGGGGCTGGCAGGAACCGAGGCTAGTGAAGTGGTGGCTATGGGGTTGGAGTAGCGAAGATGAAAGTAGGTGTGCCGATGCGACCAAGGCGCCTCGCCGCCCGCCGCCTCCGCCTCCGCCTGCCGCCTCCCATTAGGGCTCAGCCAGGGTCAGGTGAGTGGGTGGCTAGCGCAAAGCCTAGCGGAGGAGCCGCCCCCAGGGGCCGGCGCGCGTCCGCAGCCGCGCCGACGTGGCCGGCGCAATAGGCCGCGCACGTGGCCGGCCCCCAGGCTTGGAGGCGGAGGCGCGCAGGGGATTCCTGATCCTCCAGGTGATGAGGGCCCGGAGAGCCAACCGGCCCCGAGCCTCGAGTTCGAGGGCAAGAGGAGCGAAGGAGATGGGCCGGGCGGTAGAGGGCTGGGTCAAGGCGAGGAGGGGGCGGCTCCGCGAGCCCGCGCGCAGGCCGCGTGCACGCGCCGGAACCGGGGCGCGCGGGGCGCGCCGGGGCGGGGAGGGGATGGGGGCGGGGTGGGGGCAGCCCTTTACCAGGCGGTAGCGGGGGCGGCGTCGCAGTTGCCCTTTTAAGCCGCGAGGCCGCGGTCTCCTGCCAACGGAGTCAGTTACAAAGAGAGCAGCCGCCCGCCGAGGCCTCGGTGCCCCTAGCCATTTTTCAGCCGCGATCCGACGCGGGCCTCGGCGGCGGGGAGAGGCGGAGCCGCGAGAGTGCGGCCCCAGGCCGGCCCTGTGGGGCGGTAGCGGCCGTGACGGCGGCTCTGGGCCCGGCTCCCCTTTCGCACCCCTCCTGCCGGAGATGAGGGGAAGATGTCCGTGTCAGGGCTCAAGGCCGAGTTGAAGTTCCTGGCGTCCATCTTCGACAAGAACCACGAGCGATTCCGCATCGTCAGCTGGAAGCTGGACGAGCTGCATTGCCAGTTCCTGCTGCCGCCTCTGGCACCGCCGGGCAGCCCGCACCCGCCGCCGCCGCCGCTCACACTCCACTGCAACATCACGGTGAGGCGCCTGGCCTCAGCCCCTCGGAGCCCGGCGAGGGCGAAGGGGGCGCTCCGGGTCCTCGGACAAAAGGGAATCGGTCCGGTAGAGGCCCCTTGGCTCCTGGGGTTCCGGGCGGGGCGGATCCGCCCCTTTCCCCGGCAAGGGGCCCAGCCCAGGCCCTGCCTTGCAAGAGCGAGGCTTGGGCGGGAGGAGGCAGGCAGCGCGTTTCTCCGCTTTTCCCGCGGGGCTGGGTTTGGGGCTGCTGGTCCCCCTCAGCCGCCTTCTCCGCGCCTCGGGGTGGGAGACCGCGGCGGCCCTTGCCCTCGCCGGGTCGCCATGGCTGTTCACAGCCGGCCTGCCCCCGGGGCCGCGGCGAGGCAAATCGACTGGCTGTTGGAGCCCCGGCAGGGAAGGGGGAAGCCCTCAAGTTTTAACGCCTTACTCTTCAGTCAGGTTTCCCTCGTCTTGCTTATTCACCCGGTTATTTTTAAGTTTTTGTTTAAGGAAAAACTGATACTGAAAACTGATGCATTTGATGAGGAAAAGTTTAGAATGCAGCCTCTGGTACTGTTTGAATTATCCCCTCCCTGCTGGCCTTGCTGCGCGCGTACGTGTTTCCGAAAGGCGCTTTGTACATGGATTCGGCAGGTGGTGGTATCGGTGTTTGCTTACGTAGCTCCTCCTGTGTGTAAGTCTTTAAAATTATCTGCAGCCCAAAGGAGATATTTGCCCAGGTCTCCTTCCCAGAAAGATTATTTTATGTCACAAAGCCAAAAAGGCAGTTTAAAGCTCACTCTTTGGTTTAAATTGGAAGCTCGTTAGAAATCCGGGGCTTGGTAAGGTAATCGAAGTGTTTAATAACTTTTTTCGTGAATGAGTATAATGAAACCGTTCGTGGTGAAAGTGATTTAGGGTGTTGTTCCAAACTGCAGAATGAACTTCTTATAGCAGGAGTCATGGTGGTAGTTTTATGTTCATTCGAACCAAGTTTGGTGTCTTTGAATCCTTTTGGTTAAGTCAGGTACCGAAAGTGTTCTGGTCTGGTACTCGCGAGTTTGGAAAGGGCGTGGAGTTACGATAATTGACATTAAAATAATTTCCAGAAAATCTGAGGGAGCATTTGTGTATTTGGGGGGCAGAAATACAAGTGCTGTACTGAGGAGAGAAGTCATTTATTAAGCATCTAAGTGTTCTGTTCTAGGGACTGGTTTTGCAAAACTGGGCAGAGCAGTCCCTGCTTTCAGAACTAAATCTTGGGGGAAGAGTTTTATATAACCAAGTGTTACTAAGTTCTATGGTGTCATTATGAAAGCCAAAGAGCAATTAATTTTGAGTTTGGTGGTTGGGTGGTGCTTCAGAGAAGGCTTTGGTCAGAGGCTGAGTTGGAGTTGGGCTTTCACAGGTAAGTAGAATCTTGGGAGTGGAAGCACATTTCAGGCAGAGGAAACTATCCAGAAAAGACACCAGTGCTTGAGAAAATGCTTTGCTTAGGAGTAGACAAATTATGAGGATATAGGCTGGTAAAGGAGAAGATATTCCAAGAATGGGAAACAGGAAGTGGTAGTGAGCATGAAGGAGACTGGCCTGTATGGTGATTGTTCTGGTAGAAATTGGAGTATGGCCTGGAAAAGGTAGGGGTGGTTTGCATGATAGAATACTGAGGGGAGCTACTAAAATTACTGAGGTAAGTTGGAAAAATGTGTTTGCTATCTACCACTAGGGGTAGTTCTCTACAGTTTGTGGTATTAGGAAACGTGTGTGTATGGTTTTGGTTATCTCAGGTGCTGTAGGGTCGTGTTGCTGCTGTGCTGGCAGTCTGCCACAACAAAGAATTATCCCACTTCAAATGCCAGCACAGTCCCCACTGAGAACCATAGAGGAGGCTGATAGGAATCAGCTGCACACAGAATACTGTGTGAAGACCTGGAATTAGGAAATGGAGCAAGGAGTGAATTAGAGACACCAAGTGAAAGGCGGATTTGGTAGAGACTTGTATAATGGTATTATAGTAGAAACTACCCAAAGTTATGACAGATATTATTAGAAGATAATTATCATGGTGGATACTCAGTGCATATGAGTGTATTAATTTTTTATGGGAAAATATCAAACATACAAAAGGTGAATAGTGTGGAGAACCTCCGTGAATTCAGCCTCAACAATAATAAATTTTTGGCCAATCTTATTTCATCTGTACCCCACCTCAGATTATTTTGAAGCAGGTTCCTGACCTGTAACTTCATCTGTAAATATTTCAGTGAGTATCTCTAAAAGATAAGACTCTTTAAGCCTAGGTGTTTTGATAAAATCTACATGGCTTGCTTGTGCCGGTACCATTTTCTTAGAAGGGAAAGAGCAAAGAAAAAACAGTGTTGGATTTCCTGTCTATTGTGTTTGTGAATTGCTAGTCTCTAAAAAGTTATAGTTCTTAAAAAAAAAAAATGAGTTTGATCTGTTCTTTAATTTTTCCTCTTATTTCCTTATTCCCAAATATTTGTTGAGCTCTTCTACATGCCAGGCTCTGTCTTTTCCATTGCTCACCAAGAAGTATACTTACACAGTTTAACTTTTGAGTAAATGGCACCTCACAAATTGTTTCCTTACACTCATGCATGCCAGTTTCTGAATAATCTAAAGATACTCTGCCCCTTTTTCTTTCAGGCTTCTGAATCTGTTTTCCCGTGTGGAATGTGCCCCTTACCCCACCCCAGTCTGTCTTTCCACGTTTGACCATCCCTCAAGGCTCTTCTAGGAAGTCATATTCAGTTCCTGCTGGTATTTATTTCCCCTTCCTCCCTTCTATAATCTTTACTATTTACTGCTTTGGTTATATGTCCTTATGTTCTATTACTATAGTTTTAGATTTTTTTTTAAGTCTTTTTTTATCATGGCAGGGGAGAATAGTCTCTAATCATGCTTTTCATCTTCTAAATGCTCAGTAAATATTCTATTTTAGCTATATTCTGTATGAACAAAAATCTTAACTGTTGTGTAAGTTAACTGCCAAGAGTTTGTCAAAAGTGTAGAGATAACATCAAGAAATATTTTAAATATTTAATACTTAACAGGTCACTGGATGGGAAATCTGTAATTTGATTTCATATGAAAGACCAGCTTAGGAAGGAGAAAACAGAACTTACATAGATGCTTTACTCTTTAGGCCAAGGGAATTGAGCTAAATCTTTTTCTGTTAAATAAATTTGTCCTAATCTTAAGTATGAAGGGAAAGAATGCTATTTTCAACCTCAGGGAGTCTTTATTACTTGTTTTGTGTGAACTCATGATATGAAGGAGTGTCATGCAAACAGATCTAATTGCCAGTTAGTGCTAACATTCAGTTGTTAGGCTCACACCTAAAAGCAAAGCAGCTTGTTTTAGTAACCTGTGTGGCCTTATTGGGAGCTAGTATATAGCATTCTTTTAGTCCTTTTGAAATATTTAACATAACTTGGCAACTTCATTTCTCCTTATATGGACTTCTTGACATCTGGTAACTCTTGGTAGGCAATCAGTATTTCAGTGAAAAATCCCCCCCCCCCCATGTAAGTTAGCTGGTAAACAGATAAAACCTTATACTGACTTTATTGTTTGTGTGGCATAAACCATTACTCTTTTTGCATGAGTGGCTATTTATGAGGCTATTTGTGGTAGCACATTTTTTATTTTGCTAATTAAATTTCTCTTGGTCATATCCAGAGTCCCCTTTCCCCTCCCCACCTCACCACCAACAGCAACACATTAAAATAACAAATGTTAGAGCTCTGAGAGAAAAAGGTTTAGTCTATACTTAGTAGTTGGGACTTTAAGCAAATCACTTTTTCTACTGTTTTTCTATAAAGTAGACAATACTTTTTGTCCTGCATGAAGGCTTATAAAGAAAAGCTCTTTAACAATAATAATGTTCTCTACAAATATAAAATTGATGGTGTCATTTGTGGCTGAATAACATTTTATTTTGAAGGTGGTTTCTAACAGCTTTTCATGGGAAATAAATCAGTGCTGTTAATTTCTTAATTTTTCATGTTTCTAGTCTTTACACTGATTAAAAAGTAGGCCCACCAAGGTTATACAAAGGAAATCATGAACCAACTTGGTTAAAGAGCCCAAGACCTTGGGGCACCTGGGTGGCTCAGTTGGTTGAGTGTCTGCCCTCGGCTCAGGTCATGATCCCAGGGTCCTGAGATCGAATCCCACATTGGGCTCCTTGCTCAGCGGGAAGCCTGCTTCTCCCTCTCCCTCTGCCTGCCGCGCTCTCTCTGTCTCTGTCAAATAAATAAATAAAATTAAAAAAAAAAAAAGACCCCCAAGACTTTTTCTTTGGTCCGCCTTCCTGGGACAGATTACCTTTCCAAATTGAACACTGGAGAATCATTTGGAAATAGCAGAACTGTCATGTTAAGCACCTAAGCGGTACTTTAAGCCTGGAGGAATCATTGTTTTCATTCATCTGACCAATTTATAATATAGAGTCAACTTCCTAGTCATTATCTATCTATCCTCCTCTACCCCATTTTTATTCACGTCCTTGAAAGAACAGGTACATGAAGAAGAAACTTAGGTTTCCATTTTATGAATGGTGTATGTCTTAGTAACACGATTTTTTTGTTTTTGTTGTTAAACTTCTTTAGATCTGAAAAGATTAGATAAATGTCAGCTAGTTGAGGGGTGGGGAATTGAATTGAAACAGTCACTGCCAAATGTAAAGCATTACTGGAGAGCCAGAGTAATGAAGCAGAGTCCCCTTTGCCAAGGCCATTGTAACAGTGTTCTGTGTTCTCTTCTAAAAGATTATTCTGAAAGACACAGTAGACTCAGAATCAAGGAAACTGTCCGTTTCTGCAGATCAGGTGGTTTGAATCTTCTTCAGCACCTTTATTTTCTCTGCCTCAGTTTAATTAGAATGATGTTTTGATTTTTCATTCTGCTTCTGTGGGCTCTGATAATATTAGTTGTTTCCTTGCAAAATGATTAGCAGGGAGCAATCTCTTTTGGTAGCTTCCCCCCCCCCCCAATGTCAGAGCATTCAGGGGTGCCTGGGTGGCTCAGCTAGTTAAGCCTCTGCACTCAGTGGGGAGTCTGCTTGAAGATTCTCTCCCTCTGCTCCTCCCCCATCTCACGCCTGGGTGCGCGCCCGCTCTCTAAAAACAAATAAGTCTTTAAAAAAAATAAATGTCAGAGCATTTAGACTTTTCTTAGAGTACTATATGGTGATTCTGTTGGTTTCATTCTCCCCCCCACATTTACTGAACAACAAAGTGTGAAAGTAATGTGTCCCATAACTGGCCTCTGGAAGAATTACAACTGTTAGACTTCTGAACCTTCAACAGAAAGTTATATGCATCCGTGTTCAAAAAGTGATGAAGTCCTTGGAGATGGCCATGTTCTATTACTTGGAAAGATAGTAGAGACTGAGCGTTCTGGCAGGCAGTTTTGCTGGCTGGTGCTTGATACAGAGCCACACATTGGTGTCTTACTGGATTTGTGTAGAAAATAGCTGCAGAAAGTTATTTCTGAATAAGACCGGTGGTTTCTGTGTTTTGTTTTGTTTTGTTTTTCTATCTTAAATAATGCTTTGGACATTAATAGCTAGAGCTAAATCCTTATGCATATAGGTAATGTCTTTTGAAACTTTCCTAGAAGTGATGGCTTCCCATTCTTATTGATGAATTGGTTTCTGGAGCTATAACAAATTATATTGGATAGGAACTTTTTTTTCTTCCAGGTAGAAGCTTTTATTTAACAGATTGGTAAAAATGTTAGCAAGTGTGCAGTGAAATGGGTGTTGTTACAGTCATGGCAGAAAATACAAATACCTATGACCCTTTAGAAAACAATTTGGTTTACATAAACCCTCTCTGTTTTAGCAAGATAAATACTGACTATCCCAGGCTGACTGGTCCTTATGATTCCAGAGCTCCCAGAAGAATTTTAGTCCTAGAGAAGACCTAGATTTGTCTGGCTTAGCCCATCTTACAGCTAACTACTGGGAGTGGAATGGGCTCATAGAGACCTGTGACCAAGTTTTGGGTCAAGAGAGAGAGATGGAAAGATGGGAAGGAATTAGGGAAACTAGCTCCAGTGGGACCACATAGGTTAATATAGAATGGTGAAGGGATGTTTCTCCCAAGGAAAACATTCTGGGCCGGGCTGCAGGAGGTGTGGAGAAGGCCACTGTTCTAAAACTTTTTGGAGTCAAAACTTTTATACTGTCTAAAAGTGAGGGGTGCCTGGGTGACACAGTTAAGCATATCTGACTTTTGGTTTTGGCTCAGGCCCTCTTCTCAGTGTGGTGAGATTGAGCCCCACATGGGGCCCACATGCTTAAAACTGACTCTCCCCCCTAACCCTTACGCCCTCTAAAATAAATTAAAAAAAAAAAAGTGTACTGAGGGCTCAAGGAGCTTTTATGTAGGTTACCTATCAATATTTATCATTAGAAATTAAAGCAAATATTTAAAGTATTCATTGAAGTAAACATTATAATAAAATATGGGAAATGGCCATATTTTGTAAACTAAAACATTTCAGTGAGAATAGTGGCATAATTTTACATTTCTTTTAAATCTCTTTGATATCTGGTCTGTCATTTGTTTCTGCATTCAGTCTGAGGATTTGTTTTGTTGACATAATATGAAGAAAATTCAGCCTCACACAGATATTTGGCTGGGAAAAGTAGGAATATTTTAATAGCCATTTAGATAATTGTAGATATTCTTTTTGGATATTTCACCAAAACTTGGTCTTTCTTATAAAGATTTTATTTATTTGACAGAGAGAGACACAGTGAGAGAGGGAACACAAGCACGGGGAGTGGAGAGGGAGAAGCAGGCTTCCTGCTGAACAGAGAGCCCAATGCGGGGCTCCATCCCAGGATCCTGGGATCATGACCTGAGCTGAAGGCAAACCCTTAATGACTGAGCCACCCAGGCGCCCCAAACTTGATCTTTCTTGAACTGTGAATGGATCTTCTATCCTTGCATGATTTATAACATCATGTATTCGTCACTTGGAAAATATGGTTCACTGAAATCTTCTAAATGTTGAAATGTTTCATTATATAATATGAAGACATTATATTAAGATCACCAGCAACCTCATCAGAATATTCTTAGAAAGCTCTCAAGCTCATAGCAGTGGATACAGATTTTCCAAAATTCTAATTTTTGCTTGAAAGCTTGAATTTTATCATTGGCAATAAATACTGTCCTTTGTTTTCCTTGAAATGACACTATTCATTTTTGAGAAAATGTCAGAAACCCAAGTTGAAATAACCATTGTCAGTCATCCTTTCGGGTAAAATTGGTGTTCCTTTAAAGTGGTTAGTTCACTTCACAACTCAGTCACAAACGCTTTTTCTCAAGTATTCTGTAAGAGTTCTCATGTGCATTCCATTTCATCAGTTGCAATATTAAAAAGACCTAGTAAAAGAACTTTTACTACTTATTCACAGATATTCTTAAGTAAAACCTCTTTTTTCTTTGTCTTTTAAACATCTTAAATGCATAGTGGTGAAGAATACCATGACTCCAAGTGTAGTTTGGTGTCGCTGCCTTTATTTGTGCTAAGGTTCCAGCAGTTTTACCTAGGGGTTTGAGGGCCCCACTTTGAAAATTATTGACGTAGTTGCTTAGACCTATAAATCCTATCTTCTCATGTACAGGATTAGAAGAGCATGTCATAAGCAGAAACTGATCTCAGTAATTTTTGTTGTTGTTGCAGTGCTCATAATATGGTTTTAAGGGGTTTTAGTCCAGAGCAACAATTCATATATTTTATTTTGCTTATGTAGAATTAGACAAACACTAATCTACACAGTGAAGTTCTAAAATTTAGTTGGGTGGTTTTTTTGTTTTTGTTTTTGTTTTTTCCTGTTTTGTTTTTTGGAACTAAGGTCTAGGTGGTATGTTCCAAACTAGGCTGAAGAATTTGAAGAAGAAAATGCAATACTCGATAAGTAGTTTTCTTTAAGAACCCAGGATTAATTTTGAAGATAGTTTTTCTTTTAGTCTGTGAATAGGTTTGGGACACACTGAACATCAGAGATGAGAACAAAATAAACCATTATTGAATAGATCTAATGATGTCTTTCTTCCGTACAGTTTTTTGTTCTATAAAGAACATTTGGTGAAGTGCTTCAAAAATAGTTTCTTTGGCTTCAACTATATGGTAATTGAGATTATAGTTCTCAAAGCAATGCTTCTTTAATACTGTGTTTCTGAAAAATTGTTTTTCCATAACTAGAACCTAATTGTTCGGCAGCTAGTCTCTAATAATAGTGACTTTTTCCTAATTTATAATAGAAAACAGTACAGAGTAAATGTCTATTAGTAGGTGAAAGCATGTAATGCTTTTTTCTGTTAACCTTTAAAAATCAACACATGTAATGGTACTTTTAAAAATATGTAAATATAGCATTTCTTGTAAGTACTCAGTTTGCGATGGAATAAAATATTAGAATTTTATGGGGTTTGAATTATATATTGCTCTGTAACAAATGTAGCACCCTAAAACAGCAACATTATCTCACAGTCTCTGTGGGTCAGGAATCTGAATGGCTTGTCAGGATTCCCTCGCTCTGGGTCTCTCATAAGGCAGTAAAGGTGTTGGCTAGTGCTGCAGTCATCTCAGAGTGAGACTGGGAGAGACTCTCCTCCAAACTCATTCATGTAATTTTGGTAGAATTAATCTCCTTACAGGCCTCAGGTCTGAGGGCAGCAGTTGGTCAGAGGCCTCGCTCAGTCTCTTGCCATGTGGCTGTGGGCTTCTCCATAAGGAGATGGCTTCATTGCGGGGGGAAGGGGGGTAAATGAAAGAGCAGGAGAAGGGTGAGCAACACAGAAATTTTCATCTTTTTGTAACCTAATCCTAGAGGTGATATCACATTATTTACTGTATTGTTTGCTAGAAGTGAGTCTAGGGAAGGGAATTAAGGGTATGAATACCAGGTTAGGATTATTGGGACCATTTTAGAGGTTGCCCACTACAGCGTTCAAGAACATCATTGACCTCTGAGCTGTAGCACACAGTGGCTGTACAAGGAGGATGCCTGTCTCAAAAGCCCAGCTTCTATGGCAAGTGAAAGCTGTATGTACCATATGGTCGCTATATTGCTGTTTGTTCTGACTTCTAACACCAGAGATATTTAAGGAATAATCTTAAACTCATTTAAGGAATCTATTCCTTTAGAAACTACATCCCTCCCTACAATCTGAGAAGGGTTGGAAATTATTAGGAAAAAGGCAAAATTAAATAGGTTTGATTTTTTTTTTTTTCCTTTTAGGGCCAATTTTCTAATGGAGAAATATCTCAAAGTAACTTCTGTAATTACTTAGAGAACAGGGAGTATAGGGAGTAAGAAGATTTTTAAAAATCATTTTAGCATTTATAAGGATTTAAAAATATGTGCCTGGATTATACTCCTTTGCTTTACCTTTAAAAATTGAGTTAGATCTCATCTAGATAAAGTTTAGAAATGTAGCTTTATTATATTAAAAAGCAAAAGTAGTATGGTTTAAATTTATAAATTATACTTCAGGATTGGGAGGTGGCTGCTTTTTTTTTTTTTCCTTTTGAGGGATTTATTTGATTCCAGATTTTAAAGCCTTTAAAAAATGTTAAAGCTGGAGAATCCAGGCCATGATTGACCTTTCTTTGTAAAGGAAGGAAGCCCATCTTTCCTGGTTACCTGAGTACCAGTTTTTTTTCAGCTTGTGATAAAACCTAACTTTTGCAGTATTTCTTTTCTGTTTTAAATGCTACTACCTACTGGGTAAACTACTTTTTTTGCTTGATTTTTAAATGTTTAAATTATGTAACATGGAGCAGGCAAGATTACACCATCAAACTGTTTTGAAAAAATCCACAAAAAGAAACTTTTCTCCATGCATAGATTTTAATGTGTTGTTTTTCTTCACCCTGATATATTTTACTTGTCATCTTGGCATTTGGTGGTATAGTTAACCTGCATTTCCAGATGTGTTTGACATAGGTGTCTGTTACAGGAATCTTACCCATCTTCTTCACCGATATGGTTTGTGGACTCTGATGACCCAAATCTGACATCAGTGCTGGAACGTCTAGAAGATACTAAGAGCAACAATTCGGTGAGAAAATAAGCCAACCTACTATTTTTCCCCCCTAAAGAATGTTATATGTAGAACTTAAGTGTTAAGAGGTAATATGGTATAGAAAAGCCTGATTAATGATTATTTGATAATCTTAAAGGAGCTAAAGACCAGTTTTTTTTGTCTGTTTTTTGGCCTTCAAATTCTGTACTAGATATCTTTTTTATTCCCCATAGGTTAAACTTAATTTAGATGAGGAGTTAGGTGGTCTCTTTTCAGTGAATTCTGATATTAAACCAACCAGACATTTTTGGTAGGGAACACTAGCCAAGGTGGAAGATAGAAAAAGAAAAAAAGACTGAGGTGGATGTGAGGGGAAATAATGCTAGAATGACATCAGTGCTAGTGTTAGGGAATTGCTTTCTCTCTGAGAAGTCTGTAACTGCAGTAATAGTCATAGGTATACAAAGAAAATGCATTTTTTGTTTTTTGCTTTTTTTTAATATATGAAGAAATGTAACTTTCCGTTTTACAAAAAAAATTTAAAAATCAGTTTTCTTTGATTATAAAACTAAGCGACTATTGTGAGAGCACTTAGTAAAATAAAGGGAAATAAGATTTCTGCCTGATATAACCACTGTTGACATGGTAGCTATTTTCTATCCGTATTTTTCCCTTGCTAGTAAAATACATGGACTCTAATAAATATGTTTAAATAGTTGAGGTCATATTCTATATAGTTTTATATCCTTTTTTTAAAATTAACATGGAATGAAACACTTGACTGCTATCTTCCTAGATGGGCACACTCCATATTATAAATATGTCTGTTACCTCCATAGTTTCACGTTAATTTATAAATTGAATGCAATTAATCCCAACAGTCTTATTTTGGGACTCTAAAGTTGGTTTTAAAGAGTAAATAATAAAAAAATAGTTGAAAAAACTAATGAGGAGAGACTTGTCCAATTAGTATTAAATAAAAATATTATGTACTAGCACTGGACTGGACATATAAAGACAACAGAAGTTTAAAAACACTCATGCAATTGAAAATTCAGAATACGTTAAAATACTCAATAAGGAAAAGGTGGATTATTCTATAAATATCATTGGGAGAACTGACCATTTAGGGAAGACCACCTGCCTTGGTCTTCCCTGAGCTCTTATCTCAGATTTTTGTTAAAATAAGTTACAGGTGGTTTAAACACATCTATTCTTAAAATTAACAGCAGAAGAAATTAGTTTGAGGAGTATTTTAAGAGTAGAGGCTGGTCTGGAGAGCCATGAAGGTTAGAGGTAAAAATAAAAAGCTAGACAGATACAAGTTCATATTTCCAGCAGCGGAGTGACAGGACAGGGAAAGATAGCTCTCTTACTCCTTTTAGGAGGTTAACTCTGAAAAGATGTAAATAAGTTTTGTAATAGTAGAAATGATTGGGTTATTTTTCAGTGTCTAAAATTTTTCATCAAAAAATGCTCACAAAATGAAATGACATAGGACATAAAATTGGGTCATTTTTAAAAAAATTAATATATTTACGTAAAACCAAATTAACTTCTACTCTTATAGTCTCTGCCAGTTGTTTTATAACCTAGTTTCTTGACAGAATAAGTTGTATTTCCTCACCTTTGTTTTACTTAATTCATTTTAATCTGGATTCTGCCTTCATTGTTGCACTAAAATTTTTTATGTTTATTTGCCAAATCCAGGGAATCCTTTTTTAACCCTAAAATTGACCTCTCTGCAGCAGTTTGTTAGTGGTGATTGTTCCTTTGTTGAAACATTCCTTCATTTAACAAACATTTATTAAAGTCTACCAATTAAAAGCTGGTTAAATAAAAGCTGCTGTGTATAGTTTTATGATAGAGTATTATATTGTAGTTAAAAATAATGCAGCCAGTCTTTCCATAGGAATGCATACAACTTTCGAAGTTATGCAAGTGAAAAGGCAAGGCATGGAATATTGTTTATAATCTGGCCCCTTTTGCAAACAGTGTTGTAAAAAAATAAAAAAATCTGTATCTGTGTGGGTCTATACATACTTTTCTCTTCCTGGGTGTGTACAGGAAACTGTTAATAGTAGAACAGAGAGAAGTATTTTTTTTTAATTGACTGGCTTCTATGCCAGGCTCTGTGATAAGTGGTGGGTACAAAAGTCCTATCCGTGTCCTCTGGGAACTGATAATCTTAGGAGAACTTCCATCAGATTACTGTCTCCTATTTTTATCTCTTAATACCCTGCCTTGGTCTTCCCTGAGCTCTTGTTCCTTGGTCTGCCTCTTCTTATTCCATGCTTTCTCTGAGAAATCTCTTTTACTACTGTTACTTAAATCATGGTCTGTATTCCAGGGATTTCTAAATCTTTATCTTTAGCTAAAATTTATCTCCTGAGTTTCAGACCCATCTATCTATCTATATATCCCATAGATCCAGGGACTCTCACTTGGATGTGCCATGGCTGTTCAAAATGATTATATCTAAATTTAAACTTCCCTACCTTGTGGCACTCCAGCACCCCCATTGAGTTTCCCTTAGTAATTCTCTTTGTGATTGTGAGTGGGACAAGATGAAATAATGAAGCTTGTCACCCATGGCTGAACCAGGGAACTAAAAGTTCTTTTTTATGCCTGTATTTCCTCATACCTCCCTTCTCCAAACTACCTAGTAAGTTTCTAATACTTGTCCATCTACCTTCTAAATATTTCTTAAATCTTTTCCCACCGTCTTAGTTTCTTCCATCCTTCAAATGATTTTTTGGGGGAGTTGAAATTCCTGAAAGATGTACAACCCTATTTTTCTTGTTGCTTGGTATTACTACCACATTGCTGCCTCGCCCACAGCACTCCCTTAGCTCTTCCTTTGCCAAGGGTTTGGAGTGTCTGGGTCTGTGTCCAGGTCACCCTTTCTCATCTTCATTATGTTCTTGAAACAAAACAGAGCTTATTGGAGGGGTAAATCCACAGTGCCTTTTAAGCTCTACGGTTTTTGTTTGTTTTTGTTCTTGTTTTTTTTTATCCTAATCTCAGCTTTCCTAATTTCTGCTTGTTCCTTTGGCAACTTTGGAAAGTCTTATTCTTTCTTTGTTGACCCATTCTAATCCTGTTTGTTTTCTAGTCCTTCATAAACCTGCTTTTTCATCTCTTTTCTTGGTCAGACATCCAGGAAACTGTTCCTGACCAGGTGAAGTAAGTTACTTTTTTAGCTCTGGGTAAGGTCTAAGTATTGAACATTGTTCTTAAACCATAATTCCTAAACGTATACATTGAAAACAGTTTTTTTTATTTCAACAATGAAAAACATGTTCATAAACAAACTTACCTTGCTTCTTTGCTTAAAGTTAATATGCTTACAAAACAATCTGGGTGTAAAAATGGGAACTTAATGAGATACTACTTGCAGTTTTCCTAGTGCATTTCCCCCCCCCCTTTTTTTTTTGACAGATGCTTAAGAACCTACTAAGTGCCAAGTGTTTTCACAGAAGGTTTCATTTAATCTTTACCGGTATAAGAAGTTTTTAATTTCCTTGTTTTACAGATGGGGACCTCAAACTCAGGGAATTAGGTGCTGTATCCAAGATCCTTTAGATTCCAAGTCTGTCTACTAGACCACATTTGCCTCTACTTTTAAATGAATATGACTGGAATGTATAATTTTATAACCCGTGTGTAACAACACTGCCTCTGGGTTTGTTGTTTTTTTTTTTTTTTGTCGCCTCATTAATGTAAATGTATTCTTGTCTGAAGTCGTAAGTTTCTAAGAAAAGGACTTAGCAACTGAAAATTCGACAATATCTGGAGCTCTCCTTCCTCAGCCTTTTTGTTGTTGTCATTTTGCTAGGTATTAGTTACAGGAATTGTACTCAAGCCATAGTAACTTTCTTATACTAGCAGCCCCTAAAAATATTTCTTAGAGACTGTTATTTTATCTGTAGGCTGTAATTGAGCAGTAACAAACTTTTTTCATTTCCTACTGGATTGGTTACAGTAGTCATAGCATTATTCATGTCTTCTAAGGGCTCTTTAACATAATGCTTATTTACTGAAATGTGTTTTGTAGCTTCGTCAGCAATTGAAGTGGTTGATATGTGAACTCTGCAGATTATATAACCTTCCTAAGCACCTGGATGTTGAGATGCTAGATCAACCAATACCCACGGGTCAGGTAAAGTAAAAATTCTCTAGTGTTCAAGAGCTAAAATAAATTGTCTCAAGCAGAAGTAAAACTAGGATGATTTTTCTTCTTAGTCAACTTATTTAGAAGGTGTTGGATTGTTTGTTTTATTTTAGATACTAAAAATAACCTGTTTACTCTTTGGAGCTGCTGGTGTTTACTGTGACAGGGAAACAACTGCCTCCCTCCCGACTACCACCTTTTTGTTGTTAACATTCCTGATTTCCATAACTGTTCCTTCAGTTGTTTGCCTTTGCTTATTCATTTACCTTCAAATGGAATGCTGTCTCCTTTTAAGCCTATCTGTGCTTCTTAAGGCTTAACCCAAATGTTACTTCCTCTAGCCGCAGAAGTGCCCACTAGTTTACTACCACCTCTAACTTTTCTAGATTTCCAGATTTACCTATTTAGGGCATAATTTACTGACTTTGTACTATAAATAAGGATTTAGTTCTTACACCATCTACCTTCCCACCCATCTCTCCTTCCTAAAACACCATTATATTTAGTCATATGAATAATCACTGTTTATCATTAGGACTTTGTAGTGTAGAGTTTTCTATTTATAGAAATAGAGTATTCTATTTCTATTTCTTGTAGAGCTCTTTGTTTTGCAATGTCCTCCTTATAATAATAGTAATTCTTGGTTTATTCTGGGGTTCCTGGGTGTCTCAGTCAGTTAACTGTCTCCCAGGGTCCTGGGCTTGAGCCCAGTATCAGGCACCCTGCTCAGCGGGGAGCCTGCTTCTCTCTCTCTCTCTCTCTCTCTCTCTCTCTCCCCCTCTGCTGCTCTTCCTGCTTGTGCTCTCTCACTCTCGCTGTCAAATAAATAAATAAAATCTTAAAAAAAAAAAAAAGTGATACTCTGGCCCTTTTCTGCGAGCTCTTGGCTCTTCTAGAGCCTTTGGTTCTTTTGCACCAGACTTGGCAGGTTGTTCTCTGGGCTGGCTGTGCAGCTGTCATCTTGAAACTTTTGTCTCCTCTGCTAGTGTGGATCTTTTGTTACCTGATCTCATGTCATCTTTCTTGCTTACCCTTTCTCATTTTGCCTGAGTACATCTTCAAGTAAAATTCTAGCATGAAGGAGTAGTACATTTTTTGAGTTCTAACATCTAAAAATATATGACCAGATCACTGTAGGTTTGAATTTTGGTTCTGCTTATTAGCTGTATGACCTTGTGATAATTACCCAACCACTGTTTGCATCAATTTCTTCTTTTTAAAATGGGGGAAATAGTAGTACCTGTATTTTTGTGGGGAGCTATGAAGATTAAATGAGTTAGTATATGTAAATAATTTAGAGCAGTACATGGTTTATAGTAAATGCCCAATAAATGTTAACTGCTATTATATTTTACTGTTGCATTTGGTTGATAGTTAGGTTGAATATATAATTCTGGGTTAAAAATAATTTTCCCTCAGAATTTCAAAGACTGTTCTGCTATCTTCTAGCCAATTGTGTTGTTTAAGCCTGATGCCATTCTAAGTCTTACTCACCTGTGCGTGACTTGGGAAACTTTTAAGAGATTGTCTTGGTGTTCTCAAATGTCACAATGGTGTATTTTTAGTTGTGGTTTTTTGTTTTTGTTTTTTTCATTGTTGCTGAACACTCAGTATGGATATGTCTTTTCAAATGTGGGTTCCTTTATCTTTCTCCTTTGGTAAGTGTTCTTGTATTTTTTTCTGTGATAACTTCCTCCTTTCCATTTTAATTTGTTCACTTTTAGAATGCCTACTAATGGGATTTTAGACCTCTTTGCTTCAGTCTTTGTATCTTTTATATTACCTCTATATTCACTTTTTTAATTTCAAATTCTGAAAGTTTTTCCTTCAATTTTTTAAAATTTTATTTGGACAGCATAACTTTTTGGTTGTGTTTTATTTACTGCTGCTTAACCTCTTACCCCAAACTTAATTTATTCTATTTCTCACAATTGTGTGGGCTGATTAGGCTTAGCTGGACAGTTTTTTTCTGCTGACCTCACTGCACATTCAGATAGTGGCTGGGACTGGTGGTCATGACCTGAGCCGAAGGCAGACACTTAACGGAGTGAGCCACCCAGGCCTCCCTAAAGTCTAGGACAGTTTAAATAAAAATTCAGCTGGGTCCAATTTTGCCTCCCATGAGCTATCTGGAGATAATTTTGGTTGTCACAACTGGCTGGGGGGAGTGCTGTGGGTGTTTTGTGGGTAGAGGGGATGTTACTAAATGTCCTACATGACAAAGAATTATCTAGCCCAAAATATCAGTACTTCCAAGGTTGAGAAACCATGGTTTAAATAAACATCTGAGCCTAATCTGTTTTTCTCTTTTTCTATATATTAGTCTTCATTTTTTCCATTCCTTTAAGTCATTTTTAGTAATTTTAGATTCTAAAATCACTTCATCTGTACTTTTGAATCTATGGTTATGAAGCTCTTTTCATTTCTAAAGTTGTTTTCTTTACCATGATTACTTGTCAGAAGCTTGTCTGACAAGTATTATTATATTGGTCTTTTGAAAGAATCAGTCCTTTTATTTTTTTAAATCTAATTTTCTTTTTCATTTTTGTGTGTGTCTTAACTCTTTTTTTTCTTTTGCCTTTCTAGTTTATTGGACCACTGTGATTTAAATTGCTTTAACAAACATGTAAAGGTACACATTTTCTTCTGCGTGCTGTTTCATTTCGTGGCATAGGTTTTAAGATTTAGTATATTTCTAAATAGTTTTTATTTTCTAAGTGATTTGATTCCATCTTTTGTTCATATTACTTTATTATATTTCAGAAGAAGTTGTATAGGTATAGAAAACATAAACATTAGTGTAATAGGTACAGTAAATACCTGGGAACTACCACCCAGCCCCGACCCAGGTGAAGAAACAGACTCTTGCTAGTACTATAGACCTTCTGCACGTTCCTTCCAGATGATCATTCCCTTCTATGCTAATCTTTTCCTTTTCCTTTTCCCTAGTTTTTATCATATATATCTGCATTTCTGAACAATATGATTTAGTATTAACTTTTTAAGCTTCATATTGAGTCATACTATATGTGTGTTCTTTGTCTTTTGCTTAACATTGTGTGTTAAATTTATTCATATGTGTAGCTGTTCTTTTTTATTGCTGTATTTATTCCATTCTTTGAACATACCATTACAGATTTATCCATTTGAGTTGATTGCAGTTTGCTGTTAGGATCAGTGTGGGGCGCCTACTTGGCACCGTTGGTTAAGCAGTCTGACTCTTGGTTTTGGCTCAGGTCGTGCTCTCAGGGTTGTGAGGTTGAGCCCCACGTCAGCCTCCGCACTCAGAGCAGAGTCAGCTTAAGATTCTCTCTTTCCCAAAAAATTAAAAAAAAAAAAAAATTCTCTCTTTCCCTCTCCCTCTCTTCCTCCCAGTTGTGCTTGTGCTCTCCTTCCCCCTCTCAAAAAAAAAAAATGTTCTAAAAAAAAAAAAAAAAAAAGAACAGTGTGCTACCATAATTATTCTTGTCCATATTTTGTGGGATACCTGTGTAAGCATTTTTCTGGGCACATACTTAGAAGTTGGATTACTGGAGCAATTTCTTCTTAAACCTAAGAGTTCTTTAGAAAAAGTTTTTAACATTCTCAGGTGGGCTTTGGGCTATTTTTAGTTTTTCACTATTTACAATATGGCCTGTAACTTCTCAGCTGAATTATGAACAATTGCTTAAACTTAACCATTGGTGTTACTATGTCTTTGCTTATTGCTGTATCTTATATTCCATGGTTGCTTCCTACTCCTAAAATAGATCCCTCACTAACGTTCTCTATTTTTATTTTTAGAAAGGATTTCTGGGAATGTGTGGAGAGTATTCCCTGAATACTCAGTGTCTTTTTTTATTATTCATTCAACCCCTATCCATCTGACTCTGTGGAAAGTACTCTGTAGAGGTGCTGAGGATCCAATAGCAAAGAAACAGATGTGGTGCCTGTCCCGATGGAACTAGACATAGAATTCTAAGTTCATAATTGAGTCTCTTCTAGGTTCTTTACACTTTTATCTTCTAGTACTTATTGTTACAGGTGAAAAGCCTGATGTCTGGTTCTTCTTTTCCTATATATTTGTTTTCTTTCTGGAAGTTGGTATGGTTTTTTCTTTAACTGTGAAGTATAGGGTTTTATTCTTCAGTATTCCTTTGGGGCATTCAGAGCCACTTAATATTCTGAAGTCTTTCTTTAGCTTGACAACCTTTGTCTCTTATTTCTTTCCCTCAGTCTTATGGGTAAATAGCAGATGAATATTAGTTCTGGGTATTCCTAGCTCCCATTTCCCGTAACTCTTCTATTTCAGTACCCCTTCCTCTCCCCACCCCCTATCTCCCTTTTTCTCCACATTCTAAGGGAATGTTACAGTTTGGTCATCTTCTTAATCATAAATGTTTTGTTGATTCAAATCCATTGTGTTCTCTGGTCCTTCTACTAAGTGTTTTTTTCCTTTATCTTTTTTTTTTTTTTTTTTTTTGAGGAGGAAATCTTTTTTTATTTCCCAGAACTGTCTTTTCCTTTGCATGGTTATCTTTTTTATATTTTGTGGATACAATATCTTCTCAAGTACTGCTAAGGATTCCAATTATATATTTTTTTTGTTTTATTCATTAATAATGCTTCAGGTCACTTGTTCTGTTTGTTTGACTAGGTGCCTTTTTTCCAGAGTGCCAGTTTTCTTCAAATGTCTGGTGATACTTGGTCATCTGCTCATTTATAGATGAGGTGTACCATTGATCACATTGTCAGTGGTTGATGTGAATGCCCTCAGTAATTGTCACTCTTCTCTGCCTGGTTTGTACACCTGTGCTCTGGCTATGGCTTGTGAATGGAGAGGTACTAGCAGGCAGACTTTCCAGCTCCTGAGTTCAAGGAAGAGATGAGTGAGTTAGATTTTGCTGCTGTGTTGAGTTATATTTTTAAAAATGTCTTTTCTTTCTGGTTCTGACACCTATACTAAGAGGCCATCAAGTTAGGCCTCCTATGTAAGAAAGTGATCCTTACCAGCTGTAGTTGGAATAAATATAGCAAGTATTTCTAGAAGGAAAAAAAAATCCTACTAACTTTATGCATTGTGTTGTGAACTCTGCTCTGGTTCAGAAAACTTGTCTTTTTGAACTCTGCCAAAACTAGGTATGAAGGCCTTTCCTAAAACCCCATCAGCTTATTTGTGAATGAGTGGTAAATTGTAGAGAAGTATTCTGTGGTAAATGACATGTTGTAGAAAAGAAAAATGGGTCTTTAGTGAAATGGTGATCATTTTACAATTTTGTAGTTTTGTGAAACATCTACTCCTTTATGACACATTTTACCTTTTAAAATGTAAGGAATTTATGGAAAGATTTAGGCTTTTCAAAGTTAAAAAGGTAGATATTTTAAGGAACCTATGGTTTGGGATATTTGTTTTAAGTGAAAGAAGCCATTGATTGACCTTATATACATAGCCATAGATATAAAATGTTTTCTTATTTTAAATTAGAATATTTTAAATTTTTTTCCAGTTTTGCTTTATATTGGACTAATTGCTATTGTTTATTCTCAAGGCATCTATCAAGTTGAATTGTTCAAAAAAAAATTTTTTAAAGCTGATAAATATTGTCACATCAAACCTGGATTTAAAAGTAAATATTCAACTTTAATAAATTCTGTTAGTGGAACTATAGTGACAGATGACTGATAGTTTGTCCCTAAAGTCTTCTAATGTCCTCAGTGTGTGCTTATTTTGTGCAGCCCTAGCAAATTGTTTTTGTTTTTCAGAATGGGACCACAGAAGAAGTGACTTCAGAAGAGGAGGAAGAGGAAGAGATGGCTGAAGTAGGTATTTTATGTAAGAATCATGTTTTATAAATACTGTATCTTCATTTTTGAATATTTTTGAATCTCCTTTATAAACCAGTGTTAATGTGGAATAATGAAAACCCCATTGCATTTGAAATTGAATATAATTTCTAAAATCTGGCTTTAGTTTTAATTAATGATGTTTTTGAGCAAAATGTTTGATTTCCTAGAAAATCTCTTAACATTTAGCATTAAAATTATATTTACATTTAATAGTAATCAATACTTAACCCGTATTTGGTTATTTTTAAGAAGAGGAACTACTAAGTTTCAAAAATTCTGATTTTAAATAAAAGAATTTGAGAACATTTCAGGGACTACTCACTAGAAGTAATGAAGCTATCTCATGTTGAAAAACCATCTAAGAATTTGGTAGGGCAGATTCTAAGACCTTGACCTTAAGGCCAGTTTAGTTACCAGGCACTGATACAATTTTAGAGGTTTTCAGACTCTGAAGCTTTGTGTTTAAATTCTGTGTCTCTTCATTGACCATGTAAAGGGTATTTGAGTTCCACAGTCTTGATTTTAAAACCTTACTGGTTTGGATCTTAGAATTAATTCAGGTTATTACCTTATTTTCTTGATGTGCAAAATTTTAAATCTAAATACACTTCTTAGAATGCCTTAAAACTAAAGAAGTAGTTGTGGTTTGTTTTGTGAGTCTGGGAACAAAATAATTTTTTTTTTTTTAGATTTTATTTATTTATTTTACAGAATGAGAGAGACCACAAGCAGGGGGGAAGTGGTGCAGGGAGAGGGAGAAACAGGCTCCCCACCAAGCAGGGAGCCCGATACAGGGCTAGATCCCAGGACCCTGAAATCATGACTGGAGCCTAAGGCAGACGCCTAACTGACTAAGCCACCCATTTGCCTCCAAGATTTTTCCTTTGCAAGTTAATATAAAGAAGGGACAGCAACATTTAGGGAAATCTAGAAAGGTAGGATCCTAGATTTAAGAGGTGTCAGATTAAGATAGGAGAAAATATAATCTAGGTAACTAAAATAATGGTAAAAAAGACACAGAGCAAGCTTTGGGCATGGTGTGTTTAGGTGCATTGGAGATTGATGTGTTGGAGTCATGGAAAGCAAGGTTGGCTAGAAAAGCAGATGAAGGTCTTGAATTAGAGACAAATATGTTTATATTTGGTGTGATTGTTGAGAAAAAGGCCTTGAGCAGAGAGTAGTGTGCTGAGAATATTGTTTTATAAAGATAATCTGCACAGAACAGAATTCATCATTAATCCTCAAGTGGAGAAGATTTTTGGATAAGAATGTGGCTGAGTTTGAAGGTCGAGGAGGAAGAGGAGATCCAAACTAAGGACATTTCTGAAGAAAATAAGTGTGGGATGGAACATTGGGGCTGCAAGGTACAAATCAAGGGAGGGAGCTCCATGAGAGTCATGGACAGGGTCTGAATAAGAAAGGAATGTAATAGGGGTTGAGATGAGAGTCTAAAGAAAAAGACCATTGGGTCTGGATGGAAGTGGTTTTTAAGCTGGTCTACAAATCACAGTGAATTAGTTTCCTTAAAAAAATGGAGATAGTAATTATCAACTACTCCTTTAGAGATTTTGATGATTGAAGTAAAAAGAAGTTAAGATAATAGAAAGTTTAGGATTTTAAAAGTTCTGCATAGATTTGTTTGAACAGGAGTAGATGATATGGAAAAGGAGGAAGGAGAATGACGTAGTGTTTAAAGATGTTAGCCAGGGGCTGCTATTCAAATTGATTGAGATTCTGTATATTCAGTTTTGTATTCTTTGTTTTTCATTGCATTATTTTTTCCATTTAATACATTTTATTTAACCTAATATATTTAAATTATTGTCATTTCAACATGTGATATAAAACAAAATTATGAGCCCTTCATATTTTTTCTCACTAAGTCTTCCAAATCGGGTGTGGACTGTACATTTACTGCACATCTGAGTTCAGATTAGCCACATTCCAAGTGCTCAACAGCTGCAAGAAACAAGGGTCTGCCCTGCTGGACAGCACAGCTCTAAATAGTATAGGCCCTGTGGTCGCCCAGGGGCACCCAACCCACAGCTCAACCCAGGGTTGTGGTGGGGTCCCCCCCCGGTGCGTTCTCAGGTTTGGGTTTGGAGCTGCTGCATTGCCTAACCTCCAGGCAGCAGCCAGAAACAGCTGAGACCCAGTTGAGCACAGAACCTGGCGCCCAAAGCGGCCAACTTTGTCCACTTCACAGTGTTACCATCCTCACCACACTTTTGTTTCATTATTGATGCAGAAGAAACAATTATGCTATGTTGGCATTTTAATGGTCTTCTAATATTCCATGGAACTGAGTTACCTGCTCTGGGTTTTTGTTTTGTTTTGTTTTTAATATTTATCTGAGACAGAGAGAGCCTGAGCAAGTGCAAGTGCAAGTGGGAGAGAGGGGCAGATGGGAGAGGGAGAGAATCTCAAGCAGACTCCACACTGAGCGGAGAGCCTGCCACTGGGCTCCATGACCTGAGCTGAGCTGAGAGTCGGATCTTAACCGACTGAGCCACCCAAGACCCCCCTGCTCTGGTATTTTTGCGCATGCAGTTTTGTAGGGGGTTTGTGGCTATAAAGGTTAAGTAGGCATCTTTATCCCCAAGTCTGTGTTCACATTTTAAATTAGTTCCTTACAATAGATTTCTAGAAGTCGAGTTACTGCAACAAAGTATAAATAAGGTTCTTTATACCTAATGCTAAACTGTTTCAAAAGTTCCTCTTAATAGGAGACTTTTTTGGTAATAGTTATGACTTTACAAATCTATTAGTATGCTTTACTCAGTTTGTAGCTTTTAAACAAAATGTAAGATCTAAAAGGAGGGAACCTGAACTGAATGTGAAGGCTTTTTTCCCTTCCCCATTCTCTGTTCCCTGTTGAATCAAGAATAATTTAACTTTTGCGTAAGTTTCAATAAGCTAATATTTTTCGTGTAGGATATAGAAGACTTGGATCACTATGAGATGAAGGAAGAAGAGCCTGTTAGTGGAAAAAAGTCAGAGGATGAAGGAATCGAAAAAGAAAACTTGGCAATACTAGAGAAAATTAGGAAGACTCAAAGGCAAGACCATCTCAATGTAAGTCTGTGCCAATATCTAGAACCTGGACTTTTGGGGTTGAATAATTATAGGTAATAATATAAAACTGGGCAAGTCATTAAGAGACCAGTCTAGGCTGCTCTCCTCCACCCTTGCCTGTGTTGTGCATTCAGCCATTTGTTGCCCTAGTGGGTTGTTGTTGTTGTTGTTGTTGAAGTGTCTCATCTGTTGGTAGCTTTCTACCACGCTCATCTGCTTTTTACGTGCTGGAATTAACCTGCTGTTCACCGTATACACACCTCCTTTCCAGACTATATCGTTTATCCTTCTCCTATGAGATCTGTATATTTAAATTTAGTGTCTTCTACAAAGTACAGTTTAAATTCTCTTCCACCTCTAACCAAAACAAAAGTATTTTTTTCTTTTGACTTAACATCACTTTTATGTGAAGTGGCATGGGGCATGAAATGAATGCTGAGTCTGGTAATAAACACAGCTGTGTGGCTTCAGTTTCCTCAACACGAAAATATGGATAATATATACCTTTTGGATGATTTCTGAGAAGGATAAATGAGAATGATGCATATAAAATGCCCAAAGTAGGGGCATTTTTGTTTCAACACTTCCTTCTTATTTCCTACCTTGTATTAGAACTCTTTATCAAACTTGTGACATCTGAGGACCTTTGTCTTGGGTATAGGTTCTCAAAAACTAGGAATGAATTATTATGTAGGGAGCTGCCAGCTGTTGTAAGCAGATAGATTACTCTCTCCTTCAGTCCAAATGTATTAATTTAATTGGCAAATCTTTTTTAGAGAGCAAAGAAATTTAGCTCTGCCCTTATCTTGATTATTTTAAAAAAAAGTTTGTAGCATTTAAATTAATGATTACTATACTTTCTATCTCTTGTGACTCCTTTCTGTTTGGTTATTATACTCAAAACAAATACAGATTATTGAATGTTTTCACATGAGGGACGCTAAGTACTTTAAATTTTACATACCTTCCCCTTCAACCTTTATAGCCACTTTATAAAATATTGTTCCTATTTGTAGGTATGAAACTAGGATTTAAACCAGTTAAGTAATGTACTCAAGGTCACAAAGCTAGGAAGTAATAGCTTTGTGAACATGATTGCCACCCATTCCCCAAAGTGTAGTGCAGCCATTAACATTTTGAATTTTACATGATCAGTTTTTTTTTTAATTGAGGAATTCTAAATGTTTTTGTCTTATGAGAAATAGTTGGCATTCATATTCAGTCTTAGAATAAGACATTGGTGCATTTTCATTTTTAGAGAAATCCCAACATTGAAAAGAACTGAAACTAGTTGCATGCAGGTGAACATGTTATTTCTCAGTTTCTTAATATGTAAAGTATACCTTCAGTATAACATTCTTCCTTATAGTCTGACTAATGAAACTCCTGTTTTAGTTGATAGTGTAAAATGGTTAAGGGCCATCTAGTATTTTCAAAAATTGATGGTGATGCTATATACTTACAAGAATAGCTAAAATTTTTTTTTAAAAAATTGAAGAATGGCCAAAATCAAGAACACTGACAACACCAAATGCTGATGAGGATGTGAAGCAATAGAAATTCTCACTCCTTGCTCATGGGAATGCAAAATGGTACAGCCACTTTTGAAGACAGTCTGGCAGATTCTTAGAAAACTGAACATAATTTTTACCACGTATTCCATCAGTTGTACTCTTTGGTGTACCCAAATGAATTGAAGACTTATGTCCAAACACCTGCATACAGATGTTTATAGCAACTTTATTCATAATTGTGAAAACTTGGAAGGAACCAGGGTATCCCTTCAGTAGGTGAACAGGTAAACTGTGGCATATCCCGACAACATGGAATATTATTCCCTGCTAAAAAAGAAGAAGTGAGCTATCAAACCATGAAAAGACACAAGAACCTTAAATCTATATTACTAAGTGAAAGAAGCCACTCTGGTGAAAAAGCTACACAACTGTATGTTTCCAACTATATGACTTTCTGGAAAAGTCAAAACCAAGGAGACAGCAAAAAGATCAGTGCTTGCCAGAGGTGGGGTGGAGGGATAAATACTTGGAGCACAGAGGATTTTTAGGGCAGTGAAAATACTCTGTATGATACTATGATGATGGATATGTGTCATTAGGCATTTTCCAGACCCATTTAGTTATACAGCACCAAAGGTGAACCTTAGGGTAGTTTATGGATTTCACTGGTAATGATGTGTCAGTGTAGGTTTATCGGTTTAGAAAATGTACCTTCTGGTGAGGGATATTGATAATGAGAGAGACTTTGTGTTGTGGGAGCAGTTATATGGGAAATCTCTGTACCTTTCTCTCAACTTTTCTGTGAACCTAATAATGCTCTAAAAAATAAAATCCTAAAGAAAAAAATTAACAGTTTAAAAAAAATCATTGGAGTTTGAAATAGGTTTATACTAAGTTCTAGGCTATTGCAGGAACCGTGGTAATCTAGACATGTTGGTTAGACTTTTTTTTTTTTTCCAGATGATTAGAAACAGTAAATGAGCCAGACTTGTCCCCCATTTTATATTTCTATTGAAACTTCATAATCCTCAGTTTAATTAAACTTCTGATTTTTTTTTTTTAATGTCGAGTTGTGATCTGTTTTTATAATCTCATTGTAAACTTTCATTTCAGGTTTATATACCTGAAATCTTCAGTTATTTGACTCCATAGATCCTGGTAAACAGCAATTTTTATGTTGCAGGGTGCAGTATCTGGGTCTGTGCAAGCTTCAGATAGACTTATGAAAGAGCTCAGGGACATATACAGATCACAGAGTTATAAAGCAGGTAAGGACCTCTGGATCTCTACTCTGTTGTCCTTATGCTGTTTTCAATTTTCAGATAGTAAACTTCAGTTCTTATAATATTACTGGACAGAAACAGAAATGGTTATTAACTTTAGGGATGTGAAATGCAGATTCAGTCAAGTTATTAATATATGTGGAAGGTAAAATAGGATGAGTTTACTTGCTCTGGGTTTTTAAAAGTTGTTTTTATGGATACCTCATAATTTTTTTGTCTTCTTGCTGACTGGGATTAACTCATATGATTTTTAGTTTCTGGGAAAAGTATGAGTAATACCTGCTTTGGAAAGTAAATAAGATACATATGTTATTGTATGAACAAAGAACTGTTGCTGAGTTGATTTTTATGATTTTTCCTTATTTTTTTGAAAACAAAATCAACTTTTATTGTATAGATAGTTATGGTATCACTTTAAAAATAGGTGGGTTTTTTTAATTCATTTCATAGTTTGACTTTGAGTGTTCTTTCTTGCCCAATAAGACTTAAATATTGTGGAACCTCTCTAATTGAAGTAAAATTCCCTTTGGTTGTCAGAGATTCTAACTGTATTAAAATAAGGGAAAGAGCCAAATTTTAATATGTTTGAAAAGGTAGGTTTGTGATCCATTCAGTAATTCTCAGAGTGACCAAATCTAAATCATTAGGGCTTACTTAGTAAAAACAAAAAGCAAAAAAAAAATTCTGCTTTAGAATGCAAGGTAAGCCAAATTTAATTCTGAGTTATTAGAAGTTTTGGCATCCTGTTTTTCTTATTAGAAGTCTAAAAGTTTATCTGTAGAAACTTAATCAAGTGCAGTTAAATATTTAAATATGGGTTTACTTTTAAATGTTAAATAATTACTTGTTTGTTATAGCATTATTTGTAGTAGCAAAAAATTAAAAATCAGAGGGTTGAATTGGTTAAATTATGGTATATCCATAAAATAAATTTCCATAGAGTTATTAAAAAGATTGACAATAGACTTCTTATATACTAAATTGGAAAGATGCCCTGGAAAGTTGAAGAAAGATTATACAACTATGTAGAGGGATTCCATTTTTATAGAAATATTTGCATGTGCATAAAAGAAGAGTCTTAAGGTACATATGATTTTGCATAATTTTTCCCCTCCCACTCACAGTCAGACAGTTTCTCAACTCATTGAAGAATCGTCCTCATTGATGGCTTTAATTATCTGTTAAGAGCCTAAGCTACTCAGCTCCAGTGGCAAAATATTTATAATATAGCTTAGTTGTTCTATGTTTTAATAGCAAAGTTTCTAGATTTTGATGGTTATTTAGTGTGTTCATTTACACTGAAGTAGTAGTTACAAGATCAAATAAAGAGTAACCTAGAGGCGCCTGGATGGCTCAGTTGGTTAAACATCCGACACTTGATTTTGGCTCAGGTCATGATCTCAGGGTCATGGGATAGAGTCCCACATCAGGCTCCACACCCAGCTTGGGATTTTCTCTCTCTCTCTCTCTGCCCTTACCTCCACCTCTCTCTTTAAAAAAATAAAAAGTAACCTACGTGTTTTATATCTTTACAGGGATTTATTCAGTGGAACTCATAAATGACAGTTTATATGACTGGCATGTTAAACTGCAGAAGTAAGTGACTCTTATATGCTAACGCAGTCTTTGTAATGATAGACTATCACAACGGAAATTTTTTCCCCCTAATTTGATACCTTGTATGCTATGGTTTTTACTTAGAACTTTAGACTGTGTTTCTATAGAAATAGTTCTCAGGTTGTTAAAATAAGCTGTTTCTTGGGCTTAAATAAGTAAACTCAGAAAGAGGAAGAAGAAAAAGAAGGACCAGCTGTGGGATAAAGTGTTTCATGGAGTTAGTGAGATAATTGGGAAGTATAGAAACAAAAGTGTGTTTAATAACCTGATTGACCATGATAACCAGTTTATATTTGGAATGAGGAATTTGAGTAGGACCTCAATATGTAGAACAGTTGTAGACAGATTCAGATTTTGTTAGTGATTTCACTTTTTCTGGTCTTGTCTGTGATAAATTTCTCTCCTTGAACCCCTTTGCTAGTAATACAATTTTAGAGAGGCAGATTAATTTTTTTTGATTTCTTGAGAAAATTTATATACATACGACTTCCCTAGGATGACTGTTAACTTTGAATCTCCTTATGGGAATGGATTTAGAATACTGTGACCTTTTTGGACATTTAATCCCAAGGAGTCCGAGGCTATTGCAATTTATTTTTCCAGGGACCATAGAGCAGTTTTATGTTTGAAACTTACCCAAGGGGCTCTGCTTTAGCTCTTGAACTGGTTCATTTTTGTGGTTACTAAGAAAAAGATCTCTTGGTTTTTATTTGAATTGTTTTTTGTTTTGTAATTCTTAGGGTTGATCCTGATAGTCCTTTGCACAGTGATCTTCAGATCTTAAAAGAAAAAGAAGGCATAGAATATATTTTGCTTAACTTCTCTTTTAAGGTAAGAAAATGTTAAGGGGACTCCATATGCTTCTAATGGGAATGTATACTTTTATAATTGCTTTGGAAAACAATTTGGTATTACTTGTTAAAGTAGAAGGTATTCCCTGTGGTTCAAGAATTCTCCTCATAGTATATACCCCACAGGAAATTAGTACTTAGGTACACCAGGAGACCTATACAAGACTGTTCAGAGCTGTGTTGTTTATAATAACGCCAAACAGGAAATAACCCAAGTGTCCGTTCGAGTAGAATGGAGAATTGTATTATTCATATAAAAAGAAAAATGTGCAAAATGTGGGTGAATCTTAAACACAATGTTGAGCAAAAGAAACCAGACCCCAAAACATGTTTTGTACAATTTCATTTATATAGAGCTCAAAAATAGGTAAAACTAAATTACATTGTTTAGGGCGTGCATCTGCATCTCATTGGAGGCAGTATCCTCACCAGTGGGGTGAAGATTCCTTAGAGTGAAAAAAAAAATCTTAGATATTATAATGGTTTGTGACCCTTTAAGTTAAGGGACCACATTATATAAACAACAAAGTATATCTGTTTTGGGGGATAGATTAAAAAAATTTTTTTCTAAAATATTTCTAAAAAGCTTTCTTAGTGGAGCAAAAATGAAAAGGCTGAGAAACACAGATTTATGGATTCAAACTTGGGTAATTACTTTCAAGGAAAGCAAAGATGTGATTACCATACAGTTGAGGATAGGGAGTACATCTAGGTGAGAGGGAGGGAGTTGTGAGCTGTGAAAAGGACATCTGGGGATTTCTTGGAAGCTGGCTCTGTCTGATTCTTGACCAGGGTGCTGGTTATATGGATGCATATTTTATAATAGATAATGGTGTACCTTTATATTTTATGTACTTTTCTGAATTTATAGGTTATATTTAATAGTTTTTTTAATGTTAAGAGTAAAGGTTGAAAAATAGCAATGGAATTTAGATAAAATGTAATGATTTAATATAGAATATGGATAAATGTAGTCCTTTTAAATCTTTTGTTTCAAAAAAACTAGGAAGTGGTTCTAAGGAGTTATATTTGAATTATATGGAGCTTCTTTTTGCTATGTTTATGTAATAATAGTCTTACAGATAGACATATTTTTTCTATTTCAGTTAGGTAGACTTCAGTGCATTAGGGACTCTGGAAGGCTTTTTTTTTTTTTTAAAGGTTTTTTTATTTATTCATTTGAGACGCACAGATAGAGAGAGAGAGAGAGAGAGAGCATGAGCAGGGAGAGGGAGAAGCAGGCTCCCCGCTGAGCCAGAGCCTGATGTGGGGCTCGATCCCAGAACCCTGGGATCATGACCTGAGCCAAAGGTAGACGCTTAACCATCTGAGCCACCCAGGTGCCCCTATGGAAGGCTTGAGGACATAGAGGCATCTAAAATATAATCCCTGTTCGCAGTCTTTCTAGGGGAGAAATCTGAGATGAAGGCTATACTGCTTCAGAGACCATGATGAAGAGTTTGGGATCTTAACCTTTATACAGTAAAGAGCCAGTAGAGGTTTTTAGGTAGGGGCATGATTGATCTTTTAGGCTTTTTATTATCTTTTTTTTAAACAATTATGTCTTTAGTATGAGAATAGGGTTTGGATAAGATAGAGTAGATTTCTGAGAGACTAGTTGGGGGCTTTGATTTTAATCTGGGCAAGGAGTAATGACGGATGATGGTGGTAGGAATAGGTGAGAGTAGACGGATATGGGGGGGTTTGAAGGAAGAAAGCAAAGACATGAAAGAATACTTTATACTCACAAAAAGACTATAATTTTCTGAAAGCGTTTTACTTAGCTTTTGTGTGTGTATATTTTTGTTTGGGGATATATCCTTATTTATGATTGAACTTTCCTCAGATAACCCAAATGTCAAATGTCTGTATTTGCCCTCAATTTTGTTATTATAGAAACTTTTGTGGTTGTCAGTTGTGTTGTCTTCCTAGAGAGTGAGTCTGGTATATATTTACTGAAGTTGCTAATGTGACTGCATTTTCACTGATTCATATGTTGAAAAAATAAACCAGGATAGTAGGCTTTTTTTTTTTTATAATATACAGAATGTTTTAACCTGAACAGTCTAAACATTTTTATTAAATCATATGCCCCTGCAATACCAAGCTTAAGATATAGAACCTTACACCTGAAACTGTTGTAAATTGTGTCAGTTATACTCAAAAAAAATTAGAGTCTTTCTTTTTTTTTTAATCAGGACCTTTGAAAGCCCCCTGTATATCCCTTTCCTCACACTTTCTTCTCAAGAGTTATTTTTAAGGGAATATGAAATCTTGACCAGGAAACTGAAAGACCTGTGGCTGCACTTAATGTTTTCATGGTATTTTCCTACTCTAGGGAGAACTTCAGGGAGGGGATGATCTGGGAGGTAAATGGCTGAAATCCTGTTGCATTTGTCCTTCTGGACCATAACTCCTGATACCAAAAAAGAAGGGCTGTTGCTAGGGCTGGAGTAATTCTTAAGAGGGCTGGGAAGAATGTGATTGCTCTGAACTAAGTAACCTTGGCAAACTGAACTACCAAGTTATTAAGTATCAGGATTTACAGAATTGGGAGATAGCAGGTATGACTCAGAAAGAATGATTTATGGGAAGGAGCATGAACAGTATTTATGGCCTCAGATGTCCATGGTGACAACGTGAAAGTCATGAATAATAAAATGGAACTTGAGATATAATATAACACAAGGTTGGGGATAGGGGCAGGAGGGAATGGGGACCTATTAGATTCGTCAGCAGCTTGGCAGTCATGTTATGCTATGCTCTTAAGGAAGTGGTGGTCTAGTTTTTCAAGCCGTATCTGAATTACTGAGCTGAATTCTGAGGTGTAGTACTTTAGCAAGGGTTTATTTAGATAAATTTGGATTCATTTGAAAAGTAGTGGAAAGGATTTGAAAGAGATTTCCATGTCCTAAGATAGCTGGTTAAATTGTAGATTTGGAGAGAAGAACATAGGGGCTCATGAGAGCTTGTTCTCAACTATTTAAAGGGCTGTGTATGTGGAGGGTTTCATTTTTGTTTTTGATTAACACAAAACATGACATTAAAACTAATAAGTCAAACTTTAAAGAGGTGATTTTCAACTCAGTATAAGGAAGTGATAACTATGTAGAGCCATTCAATGAGTTTTTCAAGAATAGAATGTTCTTCATCATTAAAATTATCTTGAGAGGCCAAGATGTTGAATTGAAAACTTCATGATATCCTTATAAACCTGGAGATTCTCAGTTTCTGAGTCAGTATACCAAGATAACTCAAACATCTATTTTAACAGTCATCCTCGGCCTCCCTAGTATAACCCTTTAAGGAACTCTTATTTCTGTAAAATATTGATTATGAGTTCCATGGTGCAGTTTATGGAATAGAGTCCTAGGTTTTGATATGGAGTTACTCTGAAGAATTACTTAAAATGAAGGTAATTCTCCCTGTCATATAATCAATTAAAAAAGGTTTATCATTTGGGATCACATATTTAAAGATCTAAAGAGTAGGAGATTAAGTGAAGTACTTTACTAAGCTTTGCAACTATGCCCTTCATTATATCTGTTAAGTAGCTCACCTTTTATCTACAATTTATTTGGAAGTAGATTATAATAATTGTCATTAAGTTGGCATCTTGTGTGGGGAAAATCTGTTTCCAGGACTGACAATTTGAAAAAAGGAATTGTACTTGGTAGCCTGAGAATTAGCTGAGGTTTCTTTTCTCTTCTCTTCATATATTTTTATCAAGTCTGACGATCTTTGTTTTTTAATTAGAGCAGTTAGTTTTACTTGCATTTAATATTATTGACATTTGGGCTTCAGTCTCCCATCTCCTAAGTGCCTTTTATTTGTCCTTGTTATTCCATGTTCCTTTTTCTCATTCTTTGGATTTTTTTTTTAATTGCTCCAGTTTCTCACCTCTTTTAGCTTAGTACTTACGTGTTCTCTTACTCTTCTTTACTTCCTAACAGTTACAATGTATGTCCTTGTCATAGTCTAACATAAATTTAATTTATAAATTACCTTTTCCTCATCAATGCAAAGACTTAGAACGTGGATTCCCTGCGAAATATGTGCTTTCATGCATTTTCTGTACTTACCTAGAAGCTATACATCATTGTTCTTTAATTTAGTCAGTATTCATTCATAACTGCATATTTGCTCTTTTCATGGTCTTTATTCTCTGTATTTCCATCTAGGATCCTGTTTCTCCTGCCTGAAGAATATCCTTTATTTCCTTTAGCTTGGGTCTCCTGACAAGAAAATAACCTTATTGTGAATTTAGTTTTTGGAAAATATTTGTATTGGGTATAGATTTTTAGGTTAGAAATTCCTTTCAGCAACTCAAAAACTTATCATTCCCTCATTGGGGCTTCCATTGTTTCTGTTGAAATACTCATAGTGCTTAAATCTTGTGAAGTCTTTCAATTTTGGAAAATTCTCAGTCTCTCCAAATATTGCTTCGGTCCCGTTCTCTCATGTCCTTCTAGGACTCTACATATGATAAGCCTTTCCAATACATTCCCCTGTGTCTTATTGTTTTCTGCATTTTTCTACCTTTTTCTCTCCCTTGGCTTCATTCTGGATGTGTTTTTTGGCCTGTTTTCCTGTATACTGAATTTCTCTTCCACTAAGTCTCTACTTGTGTTTAAATTCATCTGTTATTGATTTCAGTTATTGTATTTCTAAGTTTCAGAATTTCTGTATGATTCATTTTTATAATTTTAGTCGTTTGCCAGGGTTTTCAATCTTTTCTTTTCTTGTACATATTCAGCATGGTTATTTTAAAAGCTATGTTTGGAAACTCTATTTAATCTTGATCTCTTCCGGTTTTTGTGTCATTTACTTCTCATTTCCTGGACCTGTTTAAGTCTTGTGTAACTGTTTTTAGTAATAGACATTATAAATGAAAAATTAGCTAATTTTGGAAGCCTTGGATGTTATTCTTCTCCAGAGAGGGTTTACATTTGCCCCTGTCTGGCTTGGGCATTAGCAGCCCAGGATCACTGAATCCATCAGGGATTTAGGTGATGTAAAACTGGACTTCATTCGGGGTGCCTGGGTGGCTCAGGCGTTAAGCATCTGCCTTCGGCTCAGGTCATGATCCCAGGGTCCTGGGATTGAGCCCCACATCGGGCTCCCTGCTCAGCGGGAAGCCTGCTTCTCCCTCTCCCACTCCCCCTGCTTGTGTTCCCTCTCTCACTGTCTCTCTCTCTGTCAAAATAAATAAAATCTTTAAAAAAACAAAACCCCAAAAAACTGGACTTCATTCCTTGTCAGTTAGGGCAATTTGTCATTTGTCCTTCAGGGTCCCAACCTAAAGTGTGGGAGACTTGTCAAGGCCTCTCCTTGGTGGACCCCAGCTCCAATTTTTACCTTCCCAGCCCTGTGAGTGTGAGTCTGAGTTCTGCTGAGCTTCTTGACCTCTTATCTTCCTCTTCTGTAATTGAAAAAAAACCCAAGGTGGGAGGTGGGGGTGGGGGGGCGCAGAGGGAGGAAAGGCCCCACTCTCCCGGGTTCCCTTTTTTTCCTGATCTTAGCTCGGTAATTGTTAAATTTTATCCACCTCTTCTAGTTCTCAACCAGGGGATTGATCTAAGTTACCTAGTCTATCATTATTGGAATGGTTCCTTTATATAGCTCTATTGAAAGTGGAACCCCTTCATATTTTTCATAACTTTACCAAAACACTGTTCTGTTTGGCCGCTGTGATCTTCTTCTTCTTTTTTTTTTTTTTTTGCTGTGGTTTTTACTTCATTTTATTTTTGGTACTGTTTCTACTTTTATGACCCTCATTACCAGATAATAAAGGCACACATTCTTTATTCGAAATAATACCGTATTAAGGATTTTCTTAAAATTAATTAAACTTGGGGCACCTGGGTGGCTCAGTCATTAAGCATCTGCCTTCGGCTCAGGTCATGATCCCAGGGTCCTGGGATCAAGCCCTGCATCGGGCTCCCTGCTCCACGGGAGGCCTGTTTCTCCCTCTTCCACTCCCCCTGCTTGTGTTCCCTCTCTCTGTATGTCTCTCTCTGTCAAATAAAATCTTAAAAAACAAAAAAATAATTAAACTTGCCCATTTGCATTTTAGGATAACTTTCCATTTGATCCTCCGTTTGTTCGAGTGGTGTTACCTGTTCTCTCAGGAGGGTAAGTTTAAGTAACTATTTTCTTTGATAGTATGCATAAGAATCATTTGGAGGGCTAGTTAAGTGCTAGGAGGCCTAGAATGCTCAGCTTTACCCCAGGGATTCACTAGGTCTGGGATGTAGGGAAAAGCTGAGAATTTGCATTTCTACATTTATAAGATGGTGTCAGGTGAAGCTGCTGTTGCTTGTCTGGGAACCATCGTTTGAGAACCATTGGTTATAAACCATTATGTTATTTATAAGTAAGAGTTTTTAATGTCCCCTATTTGTATACATTTCACTGTAAAAAAATGTTTTTCAGATATAAATTGTGATTGATGGTTTAGAGAAAGTTAAGATTCGAGAATGATTCTCACAAGCCTCTGATCTCTGGAATAATCGCAGAAAATCTCATGGGCCTATGGACCTGGCCATCTGTTTCCTTCTAAAGGTGGTGGTTTCAGTTTGGTAGAATCAAATGTTCATGCGTTTTTATTGAAGCTTATATTGCTTTTTGTGATTAGAAGTCATATAAAGGAGAGTGAAAAGATCAGAATTGGTACCTGGGTTAGTTATGAAATGTTCTATAAATCGTTAAATTAGGAGTAATTACACTTATTAGAGAATTATGAAATGCTCAGTTGACTAATTCAGCCTTGTGAAGTAATCCATATTATGGTGAATAAGATATAAATATCACTAGTCCTTACTTTGATCATTGCTATTGTTGATATAGTTTCATTTAGATAAAAAAATATGGATGGCTATAAATGATTAAGGAAAAGATCTGGAAAAATTTTGTTCAGGATAAATGTATAAAAATGTTCTTATCAGATCATTTTGAAATTGATCCAACCTTGAGCAGCATAGATTTTTCACATTTTGTTGTGAGAAATCCTAAGAATTTAAGAATTTATGATCTTAAGTAGTTTACTACCTAGTTGTGGAGACAGATGAAGTTGAATAATGCCATTTTCAGTTTAAAAAGCTGTTACATAGTTTCTCTTCATTGCTTCTTTTTGCTACAATGGTGGTATTCCATTATACAAATGAATGATTTGAATAATAAGTTAGCTTGTTACTTATCCAAATAAACCTTGTAATAAAGTGGGTTTTTTTCCATTATACCAAAACCCAGCAATCTAAAAGGAGATTAAAAGTTAAAAAAAATTTTTTTAATTAAAAAAAAATAAAAGGAGATTAAAAGTATTAAGTACTTCATTGATTGGCAAATGTGAAGTGTGGACTTGAGTTCTTTGAGGTTAAAGGAAAAGGGAGTTTCTTCCAGTAGTAGTGATCTGGGAAGACTGGTAAGTAGGTGGGATCTCAAGGGGCATTGAAGTATGAGTGAGTTTGGCCTCCTGGTGGAGGTTGAAGGAAAATTATCTACATAGGTGAAAAGTAAATATGATCACATATTAGGAAAGACCATAATGTATTCATAGCATACCAGATGAGTTTGAGCTACAACGCAAGGTGGGTAGAATTCATGTAGAAGAATTTTATGAAATTGTGCTGACAAAATATCTTATTATGGTGACAGGGTTTTTTTGTTTTCATTTTCTTTTTGCTGGTAAGCAAACTGTTACCCTTGGATATTGAATTTCTCTCTCATTAGCTGGTTCAGGAACAGGAAAATACAGGAAAGAGAATGTTTCAGAAAGAAATATGGTAATAGTGTAAGAAGACAGATTGTGTTCACAAAGCCTAGAAGAATGCAAGACTTGTTAAGAGCTGATGGCCCTGTCTTGGGGCACCTCAGTGGCTCATTCGGTTGAGCATTGCACTCTTGAATTCAGCTCAGGTCATGATCTCAGGGTCATAAGATCAAAGCCCTGCATTGGGCTCTGTCTGTACTCAGTGCAGGGTCTGCTTCTCCTCTCCCTCTCCCTGTGCCCCTCCCCCTGCGCATACAGGCTATCTCTCTCTCTCTCTCTCAAATAAATAAATCTTAAAAAAAAAAAGAAAGAAAGAAAGAAAGAGTTGGTGGCCCTGTCTTAGAGTGAAGTGAGGACAACCCAAATTGGCACAGCGGGAATGAAAAGATGAATGGAAGTTGAACACTAATGTGAAGCAGAATCACAGTGACTTGGTCTTCATAGTCAACTGTTAAATGATGGGGAGGATTTATTGGCTGACTTGGGAAAAACTAAAAAATGTTCTTAGGACTGATAAAACAGAGTTTTGCAATCTCAGACTCAGGCTAGAGCTTAAGCACTGAGTGACTCTGATCAGATTATTAAGCAGTTTTTGTCCCATATATTTATATCCTCCATCTTCTAGCTATTATTCCTCTGTTCCTTATCAAAACCAACTTTTTCTTTTTAAATAACAGCTTCATTGCGATACAGTTCACATACGCTAAAAAATCACCCTTTGAAAGTATACAGTTCAGTGGATTTTTCATATATTCACAGTTGTATAACTGTTGTCTAATTTCAGAACATTTTCATCATTCCCCAAAAGAAACCCTGTACCCATTAGCAATCATTCCTCATTCCCCCTCCAACTCCCCACCCCACTGGCAACCACTAATCTCCTTTCTGTCTAAAGATTTTCCTGTTTTTGCACATTTCATATAAGTGGAACCATACAAAATGTGGCCTTCTATGGCTGGCTTCTTTCACTTAGCAAAATGTTTTGAAAGTTCATCTGTATTGTAACATATATTAATACTTAATTCCATTTCCATTGTATGGCTATACATTTTATTTATCACATGGACATTTGTTGTTTCTGCCTTTGACTATCATGAATAATGCTGCTATGAACATTCACATACATGTTTTTATCTACATGTATATTTTCATTTCTCTTTCATATATACCCGTGTGGAGTTACTAGGTCCTCTGGTAACTGTTAAACTTTTCAATGAAATCCCTGACTCTTTGCCAAAGTGGCTGCACCATTTATACTCCCATGGCAATGTTTATATAATCACACTCTTCACTTCCTGTTCACTCTTCAGCCACTGTCGTCTGGCATTAGTGGTTAATATTCCTCCCAAACCACTGTTGCCAACAGGAACTTCCATATTGGTAAATCCAGGCGTCCCTTTTCAGGCTTTATTGTATTTGATTATCTGATTTCTCAGCAACATCGAAACATTTTTCTCTTGGCAGCTGGCCTCTCAGTCTCTTTAGCTGGCAACTCCTTGTTCACCTAACTTCTACACGTTGGAGTTCCTCAGAGTTGGTACTGGGTCCTTTCCCTTTTCTCTTTGCTTCCATTCCTGTGGCTTTTTTTTTTTTTATTGAAATTTTTGAGAAAATTGTATGTTCACATACAGCTGTAAGAAATAATAAAGATTCCTTAAACACTTTGCCAGTGTGATGTTTCACAAAACTATATGTAATATCACAATGAGAGTGTGATACAATCCATAGAACTTAGATTTTCCTAGTTTTTCTTATACCTCATTTGTGTGTATGTATGTATTAAGTTCTGCATAACTTGATCACCTGTATAGGTTTGTGTATCCACCACCACAGTGTAGATATTAAAGTTCCAAATAGGCAAGAATCCTTCTTCTTGTCTTTTCAAGCCACACCCATCTCCCTCTTATACAACCAATGCCCCTAACTCCTGGAAACCACTAATCTGTCCTGCATTTCTAATATTTTGTCATTTCAGAAAGCATAGTTACGTAAGTGGAATCCCACATTTTGGGATTGTAACTCCTAAGAATTAGATTTTTTACTCATCCTGATTCCCTGGAGATTCATCGACGTATATGACTAGTACAGTTTAACCAGCCACTTCTTGAAGGACTTGTAGCCTGATTCTAGTGTTTGGTTATTGCAAATAAAGCTACTATGAGTGATTGTATACACATTTCTGCATGAATGTGTTTTGCTTTCTCTGGGATAGATGTCCAGGAGTACAATGGCTGGGTGATATAGTTACTATAGCATATTGAATTTTTAAATAAATTGTTACTCTTTTCCATAGTGGATTTGCCATTTTATATTCCTACCAGGAACGTGTAAGTGGTGTAGTTTCTCCACATCCAGCATTTGGTTTTGCCACTTGTTTTTACTTTAGTGATTCTGCTAGGTAGTGATACCTCATTGTGGTTTTTTTTTTTTATATATATATCTTTATTAGGATATCTAGAATCAAGTTTTGCTTTTTATTAACATATAATGTATTACTTGTTTCAGGGGTACAGGTCTGTGACTCATCAGTCTTAGCACTCACCACAACACATACCTCCCCAATGTCCATCACCCACCCACCATCCCCCCACCCTCTCCCCTCCGGCAATCCTCAGCTTGTTTCCCGAGATTAAGAGTTTCTTATGGTTTGTCTCCCGCTCTGGTTTCTTCTTGTTTCATTTTTTGCTTTCTTCCCCTATGATTCTCTCTCTGCCTTGCTTCTCAATTCCATATATCATTGAGATCATATGATAATTTTTTTTCTCTGATTGACTTAGCACTCAGCATAATACCCTCTAGTTCCATCCATGTCATTGCAAAGGGCAAGATTTCATTTTTTGATGTGTTGCATAATATTTCAGTGTGTGTATATTTACATCTACATACATATACATATATACCACATCTTCATCCATTCATCTGTCGATGGACATCTGGATCTGGGATCTTTCCATAGTTTGGCTATTGTGGACATTGTTGCTATAAACATTAGGGTGCATGTGCCCCGTCAGATTACTACATTTGTATCTTTGGGGTAAATACCCAGTAGTGCAGTTGCTGGGTCGGAGGGTAGCTCTATTTTCAACTTTTTGAGGAACCTCCATACTGTTTTCCAGAGTGGCTGCACCAGCTTGCATTCCCACCAATAGTGTAGGAGGGTTCCCCTTTCTCCACATCCTTGCCAACAACTGTCGTTTCCTGACTTGTTAATTTTGGCTATTCTGACTGGTGTGAGGTGGTATCTCATTGTCTTGATTTGTATTTCCCTGATGCTGAGTGATGTTGAGCACTTTTTCATGTGTCTGTTGGCTATATGGATGTCTTCTTTTAGCAATGCCTGTTCATCTCTTCTGACCATTTCTTG